TGTAACGCTTGAGCTCTAATCTTGTTCACAATTTTTACCACCAGTTTCATAACGTTGTTTAGTTTCAGGAAAGAAATTGCCACATAATGCTTGCTGATGGATAATGCAGTGGTAACAGAGAAATTGCGGAAAAGTTTCATCTTTACGACATAACGCCACCAGACCCTTATCACAACCCACCATAGCTGGAGCGCCATCGGTTGTCAAGCCTACCATTTTCGATATTGGAATTTTCTCGGAAGAAATAATATTTTTTAAATGAGAAAACTACTCCTGTCCAGTAGTGTGTCCTTTCAGTGGAATAAACTTCAAAAGATCTTCTTTAATTGTAAAATCACTAAAAACCAACCTGACGAACACGACCATCTGGACAGGGTCAACGACATCTGTTGATTCATCCAGTTGAAGTGAAAAATAAACACAGTTATCTAAGTCAGTTCTTAACTGTAAAAAAATATCATTGCTCATTACTTCTACACGTCTCATCACTGTATTAGCAGAAAGTTGCATAGATTTTATAGCTGAAACTATCTCGTCTTTATTTCTAAAGTTGGCAAATAATGAATCAGCAGCTTCTAAAAGCGCCTGTTTTATTATTTCCCCGTCTTCATAAGGTTTCTTTTTTTGTGCAATTATGTTGGACACACGGTACGATGCTTCAGTTGCAGCCTTATTTTTGTCGACTGTTCTTAAAAATATTGATTGTTGTCCAACTAACTGCTTTTTTAACTGTTTCAGTTTGTCCTTTCTGGCGGCAGAATGTAGTGGGAATGATTTTTCAAAATTAGAATGTACAGTTTTAAGATGTCTCTCAATATTTCTTTTTTTTAGCAACGGAGACCGAAGTATTACACAACAAACACACATTTTTATCTTTAACTTCTGTAAAAAAGTATTGTTCTTCCCATTCCGAATGAAAGTGGTATGTCTTTACCTTCTTACAACTGCTTGCCATAATATTATTTTTTGTTGTTCTCTACTAACCCAACCGCTGGACGTTGGTTACGCGTTCAGTTTTAAACTAAGCGCAATGTCGCCGCGCCGTGCGTATTTATCCCGTTCAAAGCAATCCTGATCGTTTTTGAACACTAACGCGCTGGTCCGGCTGGTCGGTTCTAGCCGATTCTAGCTTGATGGCGTCAGCGGCAGATCGTTCACCGCAACGTTGCCGCTGTTTATGTTTAATATTATGACAATTAGATTTTTTGTGGAATTTTCGGAAGCTTCTCTGATTTTTGCAGTTTGTATTTTTTAAATTAAAATCGTTGTAAGAGCTACCAGAATTGCCTCCGATCGACAGGTTGGCGACCACTGGTGTAATGTGTATTATAATTTTAATTTGAAAAATTGACTACAACTTGTCTACACTAACTACATCAATTATAGATAAAACTTACTAAACACATAACCTGTAGCAGAATAAACAAGTTTCTATTCTTTATAAACAATGCAACAAAAATAATTTAATAATAAATTGTGAAAGGAACTGTCAAAATTAAATTGTACACCATCTGGCGGCAAATTAATGCGATGATTCCAGTTATTTTGCCGCCTAGCGAAGAAAAGATGCGTTTTGACGTCTCTATAGAGATGCCAAAATTGAGTTTCTGTTGGTGTAGGATAAAAAATAATTTATTTAAAAGTGAACTTTTTAAAGTATTATTTATTATATAGTATTTAGTTTTTTTTGTGCTTAAAATAGCAGTAGATTCTACAAATTCGTTTAAATTAAAATAAAAAACAGACACCTAAATATTTTTCCATTTTACTTTTGCTACAAAACAAACAGAGATGGTATTCCTAGGAAATAATAGTAGACATTTGGCAACAAAAGCTTTAAATTATCTGGTTTTATTTATACCATAGAAATAGTATAGAAAGCCGATTCCATATATCAAAACTGAAACCCTAAGGAGAAAATAGTGTGTCGGAGCTCATGCGTATAACGGTGCTGGCTCGAACAGGACCGGTGCAAGTTTTTTATTGATCGAACAAATAGTTCAAACCATGTTTTATTCATACATTTTTAGAGATGCTTCTATATAAAAAACGATGAAAAAAATTCAAGTAGGATAAATATGTTTTTGAAAGAAAAATATGGCATGAAAAATGAATTGGTTAATTTACAGAAATCATTAGTGCTGCAGTCACGAGATCTTATTTGATTTAGTATCATTTGCTACAAGTAAATTTAATTTGAGTAGTGCAAAATAGGGGGCAGGTGCGTTTCGCCCAGGAATATTATGTTCGATATTTTTTTATATTTTGTCAGCCAAGACTGTGAGTCGTTACTTACAATTAAACAAAAAACCTTTCATGTTACCATTTTCAATATAAAGTATCCAAATATGTCTGCATCTCTCAAGATTCAAAATTAAAAAATACTACTACATTTACTTGGTACTTGGTACATATTTTATTTTAATTTTAAACCCTTTTAAAAGGGTCTTTCGTTTTCATAATAAAAGTTAGTCGCTGCTTATTAGAAACATTCTGTATAGTCTAAACCAATTTATGGATTGTTTTCGATCAATTTAATACAAAGATTTAAAGTTTTTAGTCGATGATAACATTCCACATCAACACATTGCAAACCTATTTTATAGATAATAAGAATAAACTTGTAAATCATTAATTTGGTAGTTGTCTCACTATAATGATTTTTTTATTTATATGACTTTTTTGATTTCCAAATATATTTTGGCCTTACAATACGAAGCGTTTTGTATCTAATACTTTTTTTGTTGAACGATGAATGTTGACAGGCGTGTATCTTTTTCGGAACAAGAGGCGCTTTAACGGCGGAAATGATTTTCGAACTATCCAGTTAGTTTTCGGAAAACTAGAAAATGTTTGAAGAAAGTTGTCAATAACATTAGCATGTCGTTCATTTGTTTCATTTTGATCATTTTTCATTCTAAATTGCATAGAATACTCTTCTTCCGATTCAAAATCGAGATTCTCGATATTTCCACAGTTTATTTATAATACTTTCTACACTGGCTTTATCTATCATTTTATATTCTTCATAATATATATTATCACCCTACTTTGCACTTTATTAACAATTTTTTTTAACATACTTTAAAATGGGAGGATATTCTCAATTCGTTGAAATATTTTTTTATGTATGTTGAGCGATAATTCTTTACCACGTTGCCCGGTTTCTATGATTCTCTTTTTGTTAGAAAATGAATAATACCACATAAATTAAGTCAGGATCTGAAGATGGGATCCATGAGAAAATCATTAACATCTTCATTTTTAAAGTAGGTTTTTTAAAATTTCTTTAAACTGTACTGGTTCGCACGCGGTAAAGAATGAAGAAATGTAAATAATTGTTGTGCCGACCAAAAAGCGAAGAGGAAGTAACGATTAAAATATCGAGTGACAGAAGTTTCTAAGTTCGTTGAGATCGAGTTTATATTTTAAAATGCCTTGAAACCCGCATTTAAAAGTATACAATTTAATAGGGTTAATTTTCAGTCTCTACATTTGAAAATATACCCGATGCCAACTCGGCTAGTGATGCCATAAATGTTAGGTACAGGTACAAATTAATACGATTCGTTTTAAAATTCTTTATTTTAAATTATACCCGACTGAAACTGTCTCTGACGTCATGAGCGTTGTGTAAAGGTATATATTCCAAATAAGCAACATTTCATGTTCCATCGCTATCAGGAATAATAGAAGTGGCATCTCATTTAAAATAAAAAGGAAATAACAGAACTGTCAAAATATTTTAGATGGAAAGATCATAGCCTGTTTACTATTTTTATTAACAAAAAATCATTCATTATTTTGTCAGATACCGATAACGTCTCCCCGTCGCTGGACAGCCTGTATATAAATATACAGCTCTCTATTTACATAATTATAATTCTTAGGTAGGTTTGAATTTCTAGACATAAATCTTGTAATAAATATAACAGCTGCTAAATACATTGATTACATTTTCATTAGCCAATGTAAAAATGTCTTTTATTGTACCTAGGATTTAACTTAACACTACACGAAACTAAAAATAAAATGTCGTGTAATTAAATAATAAAATACAAATTGAAGCCAAAATATTACAAACGGTCCTGTAACGGCACCGTCATAGAGCCTTGAAACACCGGATTAAAGTGGTGTTGCCAGGTCAATATTGAATTTGTAGGTGAATCGCTTGTTGTACATTAATACCGTATTTGTATATATTTTTGGGAATGTAATTACACATAAATATTACTACTATTATAGTTGATTATTTAAATGTTTATAAATTATTTTGGGGCGATATTTCGTAGATATAAGTTGATTAAATCATGTAATTTAAAAATAAATTAATTTAAAATTATTTTGTGTTAGGTATGTTTAATATACTTGGCAACACTACAGGGACAAGTCATGCATACTGCGCAAGCTTCTAGACACACTATTTTGAGATGTCAGGCGCAGAGACGCGTTTTTATGCACAGTAGTTTTCAATTTCTGCTTGGATGTTATATTTATATTGGTCTTCTATATTATTTCTATGATTTATACACGTCACGAGAAATACATTCTTAAAAATTTAAATTATTATTTCTCCGACTTCCTGTGACAACGGCAAAATTTTGACAAAGTAAATGATAAAGTTTCCCATGTATTATTAAAAATAATATATCTGTACCCCAGAGCCAGAGTATGTTAAGTCCAAAAACTTAGTTTTTCAGGAGAGCATTTTTTATATATTCATTTTAGACTGTGGAGTGTGGGCTTAGCGTAGTTAAAAAATGAGCTGTTTTTGTTATTTTAAAAGATACGTCAAAATGGAAAATATCGAACCATGCGCCGCAAAATTTTAAGTCACTTAACATATTTACCTAAAATTTGGCCAATTTGGACTTAACATAGTCTGGCTCCGAGGTACAGATATGTACATATGTGACTACTGATAAGATGAATGAAATTAAAAATTTTCACAGTAAAATTTATGTTTTAAAAATTGTAACTTTTGGTTTCTATTGTTTCAGGTGGTGGCCGCAAAGTCTCCCCAGGTAAAATATGTAATATACACCAGAATAAGACTGATTTGCCAGTAAGTAATCTCCATGGCGTCAACTATTTGCTCAAATCACAAAAAACACGTCTCTGATTTAACACCAAATTTGCAAAATATAACGATATATATCTGAACAAAAATGTAAAACATTTACACAATAAACATATGTAAGAATATTCACTCAATCACCAGTTCACGGAATTATTATTAATAATCACATTTTGTAATCCTGTATCTTAATATGTAGTAAACTGAAAAATGGAACCATTTTTCTAAAGTGAAAACAAAAAAGATGTGCACAAAACTACATTTGTGATCCTTTTCTTCTTCTATTTTTTATGGTTACCGTTAAAATCTACTTCCCGACGTACACCACTGTCGCGCCAATTAAACACCCTTGTTCATTTTTTTTTCGTAATGGTTCTATTTTTGCACAAATTAAACATGTAAAGGTACATTCCAGTTTATGAGGCCAAAATGTGTTAACCCTAGCTGTGATAATCTGATTATACAACATACCCTGTAGATACAATTTTGTTCCGTTTTTTGACTAGATTTTACGCCCGAATGGCATCATCGATTGGAATGTGGTTAGGATACTAGTACAGGAAAGCGCAAGGGAAATATATAACACGTCAACGAATATTTATAAAAAAAATAAATTAAAAAACATTTTGTTATTTCGGTGGCTGGGATTTACATATTAATTAAATCTAAACAATTTTTTTAAGTATTATGTTTGCTTATATTTAAAAATGCGAGTATTTCACTTGAAATTAATATTTTTTAATCTCCTCGAATATGTTATACATTTTTTAAAAATATGAAGTTTATATTGGGTTTTAAGTTACGCACCAACTTTTATCGATAATAAAATTTTCAAATGTAATACAAAAAGAATTTTTGATAATTAATTACACGAGTTGTATTTGTTAAGATTATTTAATGAATATTTTTTTACTTGTTTTTTTATTTTTCCTAAATTGTATTAATAAAATCCATTGTTTACAACGGTATAGATTCATTTTTACTTAATTTCACAGTGATTTATATTTTGCAACTCATACCTTAGAAATAGTATAGAAAGCCGATTCCATATATCAAAAATGAAACCATAAGGAGAAAATAGTGTGTCGGAGCTCATGCGTATAACGGTGCTGGCTCGAACAGGACCGGTGCAAGTTTTTTTATTGATCGAACAAATAGTTGGCACGATGTTTCAGTCATATATTTTTAGAGATGATTCTATATAGAAAACGATGAAAAAAATCTAAGTTAAGGTAAATATGGTTCTGAAAGTGCTTATTAAAGAAAGATATGGCATAAAATATGAATTAGTTAATTTTCGGCAATCATTAGTACTGTAGTCACGAGATTTTGCTTGTGATTTGACATCTTATTTGATTTAGTATCATTTGCTACAACTATGTTGTTTTGAACTACTTAAAACATTTTCACTCGAACGGCGTACGTGATTCAATTTAAAATTACTTTCCAGAATGAAACCACGTGTTCCGATTTTGACTTCGTTTATTATTAAACACCGAAGTTATATACAAAAACGTTAATCCACAATCTAAATTAGGTACTAACTCAAGAAAATCACTGTTACAATTAATTATTTAACCAAAAATTAAAATACTTTTTAGATACGTAACCAGAAATGGACTGGAACATTTATCCTAATATTGATTTTCTCTCTCCCTACTTAAAGGTAAAACTTAAAGCAATAACAAATTGCCTATCTACTAGGGTCGATAACTAAACGTATATACAGAATGGGCGGATTTTGTTCATACTTAACATTACACTCGCGCACTGACATTTAACCTGGATTAAATATAACTATTCATATAAATATTTACAAACAAAGATACTTTTCCAAACAGGCATTCATTAGTACTGTAGTCACGAGATTTTTCTTGTGATTTAACATCTTATTTGATAGTATCATTTGCTACAACTAAATTTAATCTGGGGAGTGCAAAATAGGGGGCAGTTGCTTTTCGCCCAGGAATATTATGTTCGACATATTTTTTACATTTTGTCAGCCGAGACTATGAGTCGTTACTTACAATTAGACAGAAAACCTTTCATGTTTACCATTTTCAATATAAATTAAAAAATACTACTACATTTACTTGGTACATATTTATTTTAATTTTGAACCCTTTTAAAAGGGTCTTTCGGTTCCATAATAAAAGTTAGTCGCTGCTTACTAGAAATATTCTATACAGTCTAAACCAATTTATGGATTGTTTTCGATCAATTTAATACAAAGATTTATAGTTTTTAGTCGATGATAACATTCCACATCAACACATTGCAAACCTATTTTATAAATAATAAGAATAAACTTGTAAATCATTAATTTGGTAGTTATCTCACTTATATGTTTTTTTTGTGTATATGTTCCATCGCTATCAGAAATAATAGAAGTGGCATCTCATTTAAAATAAAACGAAAATAACAGAACTGTTAGAATATTTTGGATGAAAAGATCATAACCTGCTTACTATTTTTAACAATTTTTAATAAAAAATCATTCATTGTTTTGTCAGATATCGATAATGTCTCCCCGTCGCTGGGCAGCCTGTATATAAATATACAGCTCTCTATTTACATAATTATAATTCTTAGGTAGGTTTAGATTTCCAGATATAAATCTTGTAATAAATAAAACAGCTGCTTAATACATTGATTACATTTTCATTGACCAATGTAAAAATGTCTTTTATTGTACCTAGGATTTAACTAAACACTACAAAAAACTAAAAATAAAATGCCACTTTCATCGTGTAATTAAATAATAAACTACAAACGGTCCTGTAAGGGCAGCGTCATATAGTTTTGAAACACCGGATTTTAGTGCTATTGCCAGGTCAATATTGAATGTGTAGGTGAATCGCTTGTTGAACATTAATACCGTATTTGTACATATTTTTGAGAATGTAATTACACATAAATATTATTAGTTGATTATTTAAATGTTTATAAGTTATTTTGTGGCGATATTTCGTAGATATAAACTGTTTAAATCATATAATTTAAAAATAAATTAATATAAAATTAATTAATATAAAATTATTTTCTGTTAGGTATGTTTAATATACTTGGCAACACTACAGGGACAAGTCATGCATATTGCGCAAGCTTCTAGACACACTATTTTGCGATGTCAGGCGCAGAGACGCGTTTTTATACACAGTAGGTTTCAATTTCTGCTTAAATTTTATATTTATATTGGTCTTCTATATTATTTCTATGACTCATACCTAATCATACAAGACGAACTACAAAATCTAACACACGGATTTTCGTTCATCAATACGCACATATCAATTAATCAAAACAGTGTATTTTATATCTCGTTGAATAATTGAGAAATCAGCACATTGTTTTTTTTATATGGTGCATACTTTTTTGCGACACACTGTATAATAAAGTAACATTTTTTATAACAACATAATATACAATTTTATAAGATACCTACTAATTTTATCGTTTTAAAAAACTGTTAAAAATACAAGACAATTTTTTTAAATCCATTTCATAAAAAAAAATTGATATTGTCGGACATGATGATTCACGAAATATACAGGGTGATCCGTTAGTGTGAAAAGTCCAATATCTCCGCCATTATTAGAGATATAAAAAATATTTTACCACAGAACGGTAGACAGCGTTAAACGACATATTTTAAAATTATTTTTAAATATACAGGATGTTTAATAACTTCCCTCTGGAACCAACTTATGTTCTTTTTAATTTTATTTTATATTTGAATTGCCTTCGCTTTTCCCATTTTGAAAATATAAATTATTATTAGATTATACAGGGTATTTTGCAGGTAATATTCAGTTTTGTATGAAAATCATATTGAATTCAATGACCTATATCATGCAAAAGAAAACATTAATAACCAATTTTTTTTCTACAATTTTTCAATCAAAAGTATCCTAATTATACTTTAATTTGACTTAAGCATTCCCTATACCAAATAGTTAATAGTTTTTAGAGATTTTTAAATTTTTCACACTAATGGATCACCCTGTATAGCGTTTTGACAAACTTAATAAATCACGCTTCATGTAACATGTTATATGTATTGTGTTTTATTAAGAACGTTATATACGTTCATCCGATGATTGAAACAACGTTGGATTTATTTAAATATTTAATTCAGAACATCATCCATTCCGTCATTTATGACCGTGACAATTGACAGAAGACACACCCGTGACAGATGACCAGTGACAACTTCAGACGCATTCAGCAGGCATTTTCTTGTGACACCACAAACATGAATATTGACATAAACATAGCTTAATGCTTAAATTTATGTCCAAAATACAATTGCGCATGTCGATGTACGTTTAAAAAGTGAGGTTAAGCTATTGTCCTAACTATAAACTTTCGAACTTCTAAACTCTTATTAATTATAATAATAATTGTGAGATAGCAAATCAATTTCAGAAGTAGCTACCATGTATGTGTCTTTTTTTCCATTTTTGATGAATTATCAAAGTTTATTCTTGTGATTAAATTTACTATTTAAACGGTTTTGTTTTAAAATCCTTAAATCTATGTTTATGTTATTGTCTAAATGTTAATGCTTAAAACTAAATCAGACTGACTAATCGCACCTTTTTTGGCAATTGTTGTATTGTCCTTAATATGAAGTTTATATAACACTTGAAGCTTTCAATTTGGAAGAATCAAACTCACACTTTAAATATTATTATTCTTTATTCATTTATGGTTAATACAAGAATGATTTCTTTTTAGTATTGTACATACCCATCGATGTACCTAGGCGATAACAAATCAACCAAAGAAATAAATAAATATCCCAGTGGCTTACCAGTCATATTTACAATATACAACAATAATGTCCTTCATTTGTCGAGTTTGATGGCAAATACTAAAAAAGTTACATGCCCTTCCCTCGTATGTCATATATAGTTTTGCCCTAAAATTAACCTTGTTTTTTTCATCAAACTTCTCCACATTTAACGGTTTGAAATTTTAATTGTAAATAAACGAAAAGGCGTGCTATATTTTTCCTATGTATCTATAGACATTTTTAATATTGTAACTTGTATTATCTGTACACCATGTAATAAAGGATAGTTGCGTTAATAAAGTGTTTTAATTTTTTTTATATATTGCAAGGCCGTGCCTGATTAGGCAATAAAAATCGCGTGACTTTAAATGGCTGAAAGATTTTAGAATTTTTTTCGTTGTGTTCAAAAATTGCAAAAATCGATATTTATTAAGCATATGATAATATTAAATGTATTATTTAAAATATCAGTCAAACGTTAGTAAAAAAGTCCAACATACTTTGTTGTTTTTGCGAAACATCGGCCATTTTTGCCCATTCTGACAGAATATTGGATTGTCTAATTAGGCATAGTTAAATACCATTCACGGAGATAATTCTCACTGGGGTTTTACGGCGTGATTCTGAAGCACAGTGTTGCCAATCTAGTATAATTGTACTAGATCTAGTACATTCTTAAATAATCTGAAACTCTAGTACTCTCGAGGCAAAATCTAGTACCGTTTTTACCCGGCGGGCAGCAGTTCAAAACTGTAACATCTCAAAAGTTTTATAATTTGAGATAAGATTGTATTCTTAGCAAGGAGGACATGATCTGTACATTTCAATACTAATATCTCAGAAGATTTTGTGGAGGAGATGGAAGAGATTCGCCTCCTTATCTCTAGTCTTCATAGTCATAAATTGAAGCTGCGGAAATGATTTATTTTGGCTCTATGCACATAAAGGTGCATATCAGTATTTCGCGCGAGGAAGACTTAGTACGCCCCTGTGCAACATTCCAAAAATTCAGGAAATTTTATTGCTATAAGACTGATCTTTTGTTTAGAATTAAATACTTAAATTTCACGAAATAACTTTTAACCGTAAGGATACAGGGTTACCCTGTAATGACACGTTCGTAGAATAAATTATTCGCCAAAGAAGAGGAAAAGAAAAATGTGACTTCGCACATGGAATAACCTCACAGATTAATTTTCCGCTTTGGAGCTTCCGGCGTTCCGATTCCGCGCAAATATTTGCGGAATTAACAGCAAGCCACAGAGGAAAATCGAATCAATTAATTACTATTGGCAAAATATTGGTCCAGCATTTAGAGTCAGGTAGGTATACCGGAATTCAACACATTTTACAAATAAACTTAGGACGAGATGTATTAAATTCTTTTAGAAAATAAAAATGTATAGTTGTTCTATATAATCGAACTTTTAGTTGACTACGTTCGTTATAATTTTTCTTTATAATTTATTAATCTTAATTTCTACTTAGACTTCTGCACAGCGATTTTTATGCGCGAACTCCACACGTTACGTGTCGAGTAGAGTGAAATATTATTCTGTCGAACGAAGATAGGCATCTCGATTCTCAATACGACACGTATCGAAAGATGAGAATCCAACTGCAGGTCATTACGAGGTGAAAAGAAACTATGAAAAATTGAAGAAAGTCTACTTGCCTCGAGTTGGATCCAATATTTATTTTTTACTAAAATGGCAAACTTTAAAACAGATTATCCACACCAGATTTAGGGTCTATTTATACTCCCTTATTATTAGTATTTGTACCTATTAGAATTAAGAATTACACTGGACTAAATATTCAAAAAGGGTATTTATACTCGTTTTATAATTAGCATTAGTGCTTTTTTTTAATAATCTTTTTTCTAATAAGATTTAATTCTGCAGTCAACAAAATGTTGGTTACTAAAGAAATGTGTAGGAGGCCAGTTGTGTTCTTATAATATTTTTTAAGATTTTTAAACGTGTTTTTATTAATATTTTTACTAGTTAATTGTATTTAAAAATATTATTATTCAAAAATAGGTTTAATTAAGGACATTTTAACGGATTTACGTCTCAAATTTATAACAGATAAAAAGAAGCAGAAGTTTGAGACAAATCAGACAGAAAAGAGGCCTTTGCTTCCTTGTAGTGACATGTCATTTGTCAACTTAATACTCGGTAAACATTGTATTATGGAGGGTAGAGGAAAGGAGAACAATCTCTGTATACAAAAAGTGTCCCTCAAAATGTATACAATTAAGATGGCGCTTCTGTGCCCAGGGGACGTCGACAGTCGATAATTTAGATTACACAATGACACCAATGATGTATATAGTAATAAATATTGCTCAACCATAAAAAACTAAAAACTACACCGTGAAAAGTGACTGATCGTAGAAGAGTAAGTGTTCTGTGATCGTAGATAAATTTTGACAATACACGACAATAGTCAAATTTTATTGAAAAATAATAATATAAACAATAAATAATTCTTGTATTAAAATGGCACGGAGGTCTCAATTTACTGCTTCCTGTCTGATTTCATTATGAATGAGCAATCTATATGACTATATAGCATTGGATTTTGTCCCCTGGCTACACGAGCGCCATCTTAATTGTATACATTTTGGTGGCCACTTTTTAATATAAAGATCCATATAAGATTGTCCTCCTTTTCTCTACCCTCCATACATTGTATACAGCGCATGATTTCTATCGAAATGTTATCGTTTTCGAGCTTGTTGGAACAAAACCATAAACAACCTATGATAAAATAATCATATCGCATCCTCAATGCAATACTAACACAACTCAAAATTGATAGTTTTAAAAAAAGCGTTTAAAGTTTTGGCGGTTGGAACAATTCGTTATAACTTTGTTCAAATGTAAGTTTATTCTTTTATTTTTACAATTTAAATTGTTTATAATGTGTACACTAAGATGATAAATGTTAAAAAGTTTATACTTTTTACTGTTTTAATAATATTGAAAAAAAAAAAAAAATGAAGAATTTCATGACTTATTTTGAGATGTAGTTTTGCATTAAAGAAAAATGTAAAACAGGGTACGAGAAATTTACTGATTTATATTTTTAAGCTATTTTTCTATACTAATAAAAAACAACTATATAAAAGTAAATTGAAAAAGTTTTATTCAAATTAAACACAAAGTATATAATCAAAAAATTTATGATATTTTTCTGGAATCGCGCCTTCCCGACAACTAAAGAAGACCGCTCTTTTTCTTTTTTGAAATTTTTGGTGGTTCATCTTTTAACAGTAATGGCGCATTTTTCAACCTGCTAATTTTACGACTTTTTACTTATATCTCGAAAAAACATGTTTCATTTGAAATTATATTCATAAAAAATTGAAAAAGGTGACTCCTTTCTAAATTCCAAAATTCTGATATTGGGCCAATTTACTTTTTCGTTCTTGGTGTTAAGCGTGAAATTTTGTCCGATTTGACTGGTTAATTCTTTGAAATCTTTAAAATCTCTGGTGTCCATTTCATGAACCTTATACGGCAAGCCATTTTTTTGACCAAAGCAATTATCCGTATCCATTGTTGTGGAACATAAATAGGACTCCCCCTCAGAACTCTTCGTTTTTCTTGTTCTATGCAAGAGTGCATAGAATCGCCAGGTGCGTTTTAATCATCCGCTTCTGCTTCCGGAATTGCCGGTTCAGTCGTTCTAACCCACATAAAAGAAAATCAAAGTATATGTTCTAACCTGTCAGATTAAAACAAGAAAACCGACAATTCCGAAGCAGAAGCGGATGATTAAAACGCACCTATTAAAAATATTGCGCCAAGATGTAGGCAACATGTAATAAGGGTTCAAAATGGCGGAGTTTTCTATCTCCTTTTAAAAGGCACTCAGAAAGCTGCGCAGTGCGACCATTCTCCGTATAGTAAAAGAAAATCAAAGTATGTGGTGGTATCGGTTAGCTTGAATCGCCAATTGAAAAATCAAGTAATAAAAAAATATAGGGTGTTATATTTAAAAAAATAATTAACTTGATATCTTTTTATGTGGTGTATTTTACTGAATTTGCTCAACCTGTATAAATTTATTACATTACAAAAGAAGTATTTCAATTATCCAAGATGCAAAGAATCTGCGGCCAAAATTAAACTTTCCATTCGGAAACAACAAACAAGAACTAATCCCGAACACCCGACCTTCATGGAAAATGCGGGGGCGAAAACAAAGAGCTCAACCCTCAACCCATTTGCGAACATCAATAACAATTTGCTTTATTCCTAATCTACATTTTCGGTTCTTTTTGGTTTCGGAAAATATTAATTTCCGCCGGAATTAATTAAGTAACCGAGAGGGTGGGTGGTTTCTTTCAGCTTAGAATTTTCAAAAGGTAAATGAATAACGAGGAATGTCGCTGTCAGTTCTATAACAAGGTAATGTATCTGTATGGGTGGTCGAAAGTCTGCTTTTAAGTTATCTCTAAGCGTTTCTATCACAAAGAACGATGTTCAGCTTTTTAAAATTTTTAAAAATTTTTTAAAATAGCACAAAGTAAGAATAATTTAGTACATAATACACAGTACTTATTATTTTGTATTAGGCATAGCCGTGCTTTCACAGTTAACATATGGCAACTACGATATCCCCGCTATCGCTGTTCTGTGGGTTTGTGACTGACATTCGGTTCGACTAATATCCTTTCACCATATCTTCTAATTCTAGTCGACTACTGGCTGTTGTCCTGTTGCCATTTTATTAACTCATATACTAGCCGTATGCTTAACAAATAAGTACTATATAGTAGGAAAAAGTGGTTTATTCTCATATTGAAGCTCAAACAAAGGGTAAAAAACACGGAGAGGATGTTACATTTACTTTTCAACCTGAAATTTAATTATATATAACGGGTATCCAAATAAGAAAGGACGCCGATTTCCGACGGCTGTAGACAAACAATCCATTAGAGGAAAGCATAAATGTGTCACCAGTGGAACGCTACACAATTCTGCCAACCTAATAAAACATATCACAACTGTTCGATGTTTAGAGGTAATACAACGCATGCGCATTACGGAATATTTGGAGAAAATCATCGACAATTACATATATGCGCCATTGGTTGCCTATATTATTTATCTGGACTGGATAGCCTCGCCCGCCCGCTTATTGCTTGCTTGTTGTTGAATTGAGAGTTCACAGTCATTTTGTAATTATTTAGTGAGTATTTCCGACCTAAGTACATACTTGCTTTGGTTATTTGTTTTTGTGTTATTTTTTGGACATTTCTGTTGTTTCTGCACGGGGGTTC